GAGAGAGAGAGAGAGAGAGAGAGAGAGAGAGAGAGGAACGCAAAGTCTCGCCTCAAGGTCACGCTGAGAGCAAGGGTAGGTGACTGCATGCAGAGGCCACAGCGGAACATTGACGCTTTCTAGGAGAACACGACGACCAACGAGCTAGCTTAGCAGAACGGACGGAACGACGGAACGGACCATCGACGAGCCGGCCTACGCCGAGATGCGCTGTGTTCCAGCAATCCTGCTACGTGGTTTCGAAGACACGCTAGTAGTATGTGGGCACTTATGGCGCGTCAAAACAAACCCCCTCCACCTGGCCCCCCCACCACTTCTGGCGCCATTGCCCCACCAGGGTGGTTTTCCCCCTCCCTTGGTGGTGATTGGCCACGCCCACTGGAGGGGATGGAAAAGTGACATGATTTATGACCCCATAAATTTTTTATAAATTTTGGATAAATTTTTATAATTTCTTAAAAATGTGTATTTTAAATTTTTTTGTTGAGGAATTTGTGTGGGAGGAAGGTTCGAGAATGTTCTCGAGTAAGAATTCTTTATTAAAAGAGTATATATTTATTTAAAAATCCGTTTCGAAGCGTGTATCCGTATCGAAGGCTGGTACTGGCAATGGCGGCGCTCCGATGTTCTTGCCTCGTGCGTTCAAACGTGTATGAGAGCAAGTTGGCGTCGGTTGAGTGAGGAANTGTAAGGGCGGGGGTGGCATCGGTCCCGAAAAGGATCAATCAGCGTCTGGGCACTTATGGCTCCCAATGAGCGAGGTTTAGGAGTAGTTGATGGGGATGATAGGGCTCCCAAGGAAGGACCAATGAGCGTCTGGGCACTTATGGCTCCCAATGAGCGTGAAGCATAGTTGAGGGCGTCTAGGCGAAATAGAAATCGAAGCAGGCGTCGCAAGACTGTGACTAGAAAGTCAGGGATGTAATATAAAAAATGAATTTATGTGTCCGGATTTTTTCTGAACGATTTTCATCTGCGCGAACTTGTACGTGCGTGCCGATAAGAACATAAGTTTTGAAGACAAAAAACGGTTTATGACTCGGGGCCGTTAAACCTGCGCGTACTTGTTCGCGCGGAAAAATTCTACGAGAGTTTTCGATGGGTATTCAATGTAGAATAAAATGCTTATAAAAATGCCCATTTAATGAATTGTTTATTGTTTTTCATACGCATATGCACTCATGTGTGGGTAGCTACGATACGAGGTAAATGCAAAATAAAAACTATGTGTCGTACACGGATGATATATAGAAATAATTTGTAACTTTTGAAAATAATTGTTAATCTACCGTTTAAACAAAAGTGGTGGTGGTGGTAAAATAAGTTGATGCTCATGCGCACAAGAGGGTAAAATTGCTATAAATAGAGCAATGTAAATACATTTTGATCAATATTCTGTTGCAAACAGTTGCAGCTGGCGCTTGAAATATCTTTTTACGCGGTAAATATTGGTTTAAAAGTGTGTAAAATGAAAAGTGCAAAGAAATGGCGGTGAATAGTGAAAAAAAGCAAGTTGAATCCAGCGTAAAATCGTGCATGGGAATCATCAAGAAGTAAAATGAGAGGCATGAGATGCTGCTTTCCACCGTGTATGGATTAAATAATTCTCATACAAAGAGAATTCAAGTAGGATTGCTCCCTGATGTAACGAACGGATTTTTTTATCCTGCTATTAAATTATGCGGAAATGGAACAAATATCATATGGCTCGATGCTGACGCGTGGAAAAAATTGCAAGATACCATGCCGTTAATAAGTCTGTACTTGGACGGAGGCAAATACAAGACAGAGCCGATTGTAATAAATAATAATATCACAATTGCATTTACTACGGCATATGGAGCGAAGGCTGTATTAATTTCACACAAAGAGTCCGGAGAAGAAGAAACATCTAACAGCGAGACAATGAGAGAAGAAGATTCGGATTGTTCTAGAGTGAAAAAGCGCAAGATATTTTCTGCTTCTGTTGTTATGCAAAAACCAATATTTCTCGGTCTGCAAAATATAGCGCAATGTGTTAACGCGTATATGGAACACTTGGATACATTAGCATCCAGCGTTAGCGAATGTTCCAAGTATCTAATACAAGAAACAGAATTGTTACTCCCGAAAGCTTATATAAACAAAGACATTATCAAATTAACAATTAAAGGTAATTATACAGCAATATCGAACGTGCTGTACAGACGCAAATAAAAAATTTACCGTTTCTAGATACGTACTTTACCCTGGTATTTCTAGAAATGTGTACACTTTATTTGGATAATGTTGTTCAAATTATTTTAGCAAAGCATTAAAAGTAATGTCTTCTCTCAGTTTGATTGTATACAAAAAATATATTTCAATGTGAATAAAAATGAAAATATAGTATCTTTTCTATAAAATAAAATATATATTGTGTTTTATTATCCCCGCCCGAAACCTGTCCTATTCGCACGTACTTTAGTGAAAAGCGAAAAATTAAAACAAAATTGTTGCGTCATTATTGGCGCGCATAGAAAATAAATGAAAATTCTTTGAAATAAGCTGTTTTTATATCACGCATTGTGTTGCAACGTGTTTCCACGTGCGCGTCTATCTCGAAAAATCTCTGAGAAAGTTTCTCATAGTGCAATTTTAAAGTCAGAAATCAAAGGTCCATATATCGCAAGTCCTTCGGTTGTCTATTGCGAATCAGGGATGTAAATCTCCGTCTTTATGGAAACGGAGCTAATGTGTCTCACCCTGTTGACAAAAAGTAGGATGGAAACTATGTCTGAGTAACAGACGGTCAATGCCAATACGTGACATCTTAGGATCATTTTTTCATCTACAACAAATTTATTTTAGGGTTGTAAAATCAATCTCAAGTTTATGGAAAAGCAAAAACAGATTTTTTCTTACCGCTGGCACAAAAAATGATTAAAACTTTATAGCATTTCCAAGTAACAGCCGATTTGTCAGTTTGTGACATCCTAGCTCAACTCTCACTTTGTAATTTTTGGGGGGTGAAACAGCGTATAAAAGATCTGTTGCAAAGAGAACAAAACACAGTCTGAGTTCAGAGCAAGAATCAGCCAGTTCTTCAGTAAATAGTAAGCAGTGAGTATCAGAGTTCTAAAAGTACTAGTTTTGCAGTTTGCCAATATATTTTATTAAGAAATGTCGGCAAAAACAATAAAAGACATTGCAACGCATGTAATGCAATGTACATTTGACATATTTATGTCAATGCATTCGGGGTGTGTTGCTGCGTATACGGGAAAACGCAGACAACATAGATTTGTTCTATCAAATCGCGCATCGAATATCCAATACGTACCTCGCAACATTGCACGCGCTGGGATATTTCGATGAAGATCCCCGATTATTACACATTGCGTGCGAAGTAGTGGAATTTCGCACGGCGCTCCAACACGAAGAAAAAGATGTGTGAGGACGAATCGCACAAATGATGCGTGATAATATGAGTGAGTAAAAGTTTTATATTTGTTAGAATATTATTTTTACATTTGTAAAACTTTTTTGATATACTGCATGTTTCATTTACTTTAGTAAACAATCGTAACGAAGTAACGGCAAACAAAGAAGAAGCTGCAGCGACGCCACTCTGTTTTGCTTCTTGTTAGCAGCAGCAAGTTGCGTGCGTATCGCCTCGTGTAGAACCTCGGGCGATAGCCAGGGTGTTGCCAACGCCCTGCTCCTACGGCCCAACGTCGCTGACGAGAGAGGACAGAAGAAGAAGCAAATGAACCTCCACTGCGTAAGTTTACAAGCGATAAAACAAGAATTACTAACTTTTCGAATAAAAATATATTAACTAGTGATTTTCACATTTTAGGAAGAGCCCGTAGAGATGAAGCGGAGCTTTCTCCTCCTCCTCCTCCTCCTCCTCCCGTTGATTCCGGTAAGTAAACTACCTAAATAGTTAAACGTAATGAAAAATATATAAAGAAATTATATATAAACTTATATATATATTAATTTTCAGATGATGAAGTGCAGATAATGTTGGAAGTTAGGCATCCGCCAGAGACATTACCTAATCATTTCCAACAGAAAGAAGCGGAAGAAGAACAGCGTCAATGGGCGGTGGAGGAGCTTCAAAGAAGGCGGCTGGAAGCCCAAATGGAAGACGAGCGCTACGAGCGGGAAACAGTCCGTTTCTTGTCGCGGAAATCGAAAACGAGATCATTGCCGACAACAACGACAACAACGGCGTCGCCGACGAGAACGATGACGACGACGACTACGACAACGATGATGACGAGGATGCCGACGACAACAGCGACGCCGACGACGAGAACGACGACGACGACGACGACGAC